TACACTCAAATGTATCTAGTATGATAAAACAGTGCTGTTTTACCCCACATACACACGACCGGAAGAAGCGGAAGCGGTCGACTGTGGCATAATAAAAGCTCTGCTGCTATCGAGCCGTGTATCGTGCTCGTCCTTCATTAGCAATCACTTCAGCGGCCTCGTTTCGCTTCCACGATTTTTAGCCCCACCCTGCTTCATACTACAGTGACCTTAATAAGTCTTTAATACATTAGCTCATCCATGAACATGATTTCTGCCCGAGTCCCGTCGGATTGCATCGGCTGTGAGGATGAAGACGACAACTCCCATGATTCCACACTCAGTCACGGCGTCATCAAACTACGTTTTTGTTACTTGTTTGTTTTGAATATGCGCCCTCTAGCGATGAAAACGTATATATTGTGCCTTTAAAGTACACCACTGTAATGTTGTGATATTTTTAATATATCTGGCTGTCACACTATTTTACTTCCATCCTTCTAATGTTGCATGTGCACTCAGTAATGTTTTTAATAAAACGTTTTACACAAAACTATGATTTTACACAAATAACTATGTTTTACACAAAGCTCTTTTAAATAAAACAGGTAAATATGAATCAAGAGTGGACAAATAAAATTTCCAAACAGCCAGTTTCTGCTAGAGCAATGATACAAACTGCAGCGATTCGCCGGTCTCACGCCACAAAGTGAAGACAAGAGGACCTCAAGGTCCAGTTTATTGATGTGTGTATTATAAGAACTATTTATAATAAAGACAGGGCAAGCACTTCCAATAAACATGGCGATAGTAATGTTTATAGCGATATAAGTATAAAGACCAAGACCACTGTGACATCAGGAATGGTGAAACAAACAAACACTTACTGAGTGCACTTATAAATCATTGTGCTGTCAGCTGGGTTGTGTTGGCCAAAACATGTGAATGACCGCTAGTGTTGCTTTCGTCAACGAAAATTATGACTAAATATCGTCGTCAACGAACCTTTATCACATGACAAAGACGAGACGAGACGTAAATGGAGCATTTACGTATGCAAATCTTTCTCCGGTTTCTGGTGCAGTATGGGGGCCTATTTTGGGTTTAGGTCCTTCTGATCATCGGTGACCACAGACAGTTGTGTATTGTGAAAAGAACAGCAATCTGATGACGTTGTGCAGTGTATAGATGGCATTAGCAATGAGAGTGTTCAGTTTTTATGTGAAGTCATTGGGCCACAGCGGACCTTTTAAAATAAACAGTGTTACTTTTATGTTTGGTTGTCTGCATTTTAGTTTGATGATGAATGGCAGAAATGTCAGGCAACGCTAGAACTAATGTTGTTTGTGTGTGCATGAGGCGCCTGTGCAATCAGATGGATTAAATCAAATAAAGATATAAAGAAAAGAAATTAAATGCATTAAGAGTGTTACAAAAAAACGAGCGTAGCCTATACTTGTTGCACAGTGGGGGTTTTTTACTATGCTGTGTGCAAGTTCAGGTAACTCAAAAACTTGCGTACACGAGCTGAGACCAGACGTGAGATTTGATCGTAGCCACCGTTCACGTCCATATTGATAAATTCCAAGTTTTGCGTTGAAACGACCGTACGCCCAATTTTCTGTCGTACGTTCGTTTCGTAAATGAGGCCCATTGTGATTTTTTTGGGGTGGTTGGAAGATTTTCATTTGGCATTAAAAACGCCAACTGCCTTATCATTCTTGAGCGGTCAGAGATTAGACAGACAGACGCCGACCAGTCTCATTATCTGGCTTCATGATGCTTAGACACCTTGACTCTTCTTTACAGAGAAATCAGCTTCAGCTGTCATAGGCACAATACCAGCCAAAGGTCAGGAGAGTTTTCATAATCTCTCCTCCTCCCTCCTTTCTCTCAGTGTCCTTTCACCTTTTTAATATGCATGCATATCTATATACATATGGGTTTACTATAGAAAAAAGCTCATTTCCATGTATTTGAATAGCTAGTGTTGTTGATATCCAGTGACTCATGCACCTTTAAGGGGATTTACTGTACAGTCTGTCAAAACATTCATTTGAAGCACTTTGGTCTCAGAAGAGTAAATCCTCACATTTCCATTCTGACATTGATGGGATGTTTGTCTGATACTGAAAGCTTGTTTGTGAGAGGATAGTGCAGTGTAAGTGGTGTTCGTGTTGCAAACTAGCCACCACCTGTATGTGAGAATGTTCCTATTACTAAGGGGATTTACTGTACAGTCTGTCAAAACATTCATTTGAAGCACTTTGGTCTCAGAAGAGTAAATCCTCACATTTCCATTCTGACATTGATGGGATGTTTGTCTGATACTGAAAGCTTGTTTGTGAGAGGATAGTGCAGTGTAAGTGGTGTTCGTGTTGCAAACTGGCCAACACCTGTATGTGAGAATGTTCCTATTACTTCTTTCTTTCAACCTCTTACTCATTCAACACGCACCCACACACACTATTTTGGAGGCATAACAGATGTTATGTATTAGATAAATAATTAATATATAGCTCAAAGACAGTCGTCGCTTCACAGCAAAATGTATTCCTTACAGAAGCCTGTGGGTGCAGTCATTGCAGAAAGATTACTTTTTCATTGTTCAGTCAGCACAAACCCCATGAGGAGATGCTCCACACAGAGCCATTTAATTGTCTCACACATGGACTGATATTGGCATGGTCATTAGCTGTGTATGAACAAAAATGCTGATGTGATAATAGTGCAGCACACAGGGTGCCATTGGCTTAGTCACAGAGCTGCATTCAGGGCTCTGACAGATCTACGAGTCCCCTGAATGATGTCATTGTAAATGGTTGGGCCGGATCTCTGTGTTCTTTGGTATTAAAGAAGTATCCCGGGGTTGTTTTTTTTATTTTATTTATTTTTTTTATTTTTTTACCCCAAGCAACTATCCATAAACTGCCTGTGAGAAAACTATTATTAATATGTGTAAAAAAAAAAAAATTTAAAAAAAAAACAGATAATGTTCTGGCAGAAAATTACCAGTACCTTTTCCGTTAAGTTTATGGACATCTGCTTCAGCTCTAAAATACAATGAAATGCATGACTCAAAATACAGGTAAACACCTGTGAAAAATCAGTACAGAAAATTCCTTCATATTAACACGTTACATTGGGACATATTTTTCATACTTTTTTGAAAAATATGCATCTGAAAAATATTTGCTTTCTATTAAGATTATACTATATGTCTTCTTGACCCATCACTAGAATAATGTTAGATGTATAAACCTGAACAGAAGCATACAATTATGGCTGTCAAAAGTAATACAATAATCCTATCTTATCTTATGATATCTTTAGATGGTATACTAGTTAGGGATTTTTATGTGTTTGAAAGAACTCTCTTATGCTCACCTAAGCTGTATATTCTAATAATAATAAAAAAACACTTTAAACAGGAATATTTTGAAATATTATGCAATTCAAAATAACTGTTTTCTTTTTAGGGATTTTAGACATTTAGACATTTCTTGTTATTATCAATATTGAACAACAGTTGTGCTGCTTGATTTTTTTGTAGAAACATGATTCTTTGATAATAGAAAGTTCAAAAGAACAGCATTTATTTGATATAGAAAACTTTTGTAACATTATAAATGTCTTTACTCTAACTTTTAATCCAATTAAAGCATCCTTGCTAAATAAAAGTGTTATTTCTTAAAAAAAAAAGAAAAAAAAGAAACCCAAACTGTAATGAAAGTCTGACCCCAAACTTTTTGAACAGTAGTATAGATTGAAATAGTAATAATTCAAATTTGGCAAATTAAATGTAAACATTTATTTTACATTTTTACACTATTTTTCTCTGAAAGTGTCCCACTAGCTCCCTTGCAGCCTCCTAATTCGAAAACCCCTGTGTTAGCAAACAGAAACCATGTTCAGATCGAATATACTTTTATAAAGGAAATGTTGTGTCATCCTTTTGTTTTGCATTTTGTGCTCAGCATTAAAGCCGTGTGGTGATGGCAAACAAGGACCAACTGGCATTAGTGGCCTCCCACTGGCCTTAGTCACTAGTGATCCAAGAGAATTTGGTTGTGTTGGGTCCAGATGGCAGAGGTGATGTGCAGGTTCTGTGTTTTTGGAGCTCTGTGCAGGGAGGGATAAACTCACATGAGGCAAGCTGAAACGTGGTGTGCACAATTGGAGGAATATTACAGGACAATGAGCATTCGTTTTGGAAGTTAGTGACCTTAACCATGAGCGCAGTTTGGGAAAAGAGAGACTATTCAATTGAATTAAAAACACTTTAAAATATGAAGTTCAGCCAGGCAACTGAGATAAGCTTGAACAACAGAAAGTATTTGTCACAGCAAGTCCATTAGTGTAGCTGCTTTGATGGACTGAACCACGAATTATGAAATGATTTTTTTCCTCATATCTTGTCAATTCTGTTCTTTTAACATGGAGTCTATGTTTTACAGATAAGCACATATGGCATGGCTGCTCTTCCACTTACTTTATTTCCTATAGCTGATGTAGCTGTTTTGCTCCAGGTATCAGAAAAATATATATGGGGATAATACCACATATACTGAGATAAAGAGAATTCCTCTCCATTATTCATGACTGACGATGTTTTGTTCTGTGCCTTGGTCCAGTTGGTCTAGTTGTCAAATATCTATTTCTCGATTTGTTCATCTGGTAACTACATTTGGGTTGTTTATGGATTTTCAGATGGGAAAATGTAAATGTTGTGGCAGCAAAAATATAATGCAACTTACGCAAGCATTCAGAATTTTAAAAAAGCAACCCAATATTAGTTTAGTCATAACAGTACTGTTCTCCATAAAATTATGAATATTATTTACTCACATGCTCAAACTATGGTTTTTTGCTTGATCTTTTTGCCACTAACCCGTGCAGGTTTTGACATCTTTTTGATAGTTTTTCTTCATCCCAGTTGCTTTTTATGTTAAAAATCAAAAAAGTAACTGGGGTGCTTCAAAAACAAATGTTAAAATGCTGAAATTATCATTCTTTTTCAGCCACAGACACTCTGGATTTAGAGATTCTCCCAGAGGATTCTGGGTCTGAGGTGGTACCAGAGACACCCCCCCACAGTCGACCTCAGGAAGATTGGTCAGATCTCACTGAACCCAGCACAGGTAACCAACACATAATATCACACTGATAAACAGAAAGTAACTATTTCTCGATTTGTTCATCTGGTAACTACATTTGGGTTGTTTATGGATTTTCAGATGGGAAATGTAAATGTTGTGGCAGCAAAAATATAATGCAACTTATGCAAGCATTCAGAATTTTTAAAAAGCAACCCAATATTAGTTTAGTCATAACAGTACTGTTCTCCATAAAATTATGAATATTATTTACTCACATGCTCAAACTATGGTTCTTTTTACTTGATCTTTTTGCCACTAACCTGTGCAGGTTTTGACATCTTTTTGATCGTTTTTCTTCATCCCAGTTGCTTTTTATGTTGAAAATCAAAAAAGCAATTGGGGTGCTTCAAAAACAAATGTTAAAATGCTGAATTGATCATTCTTTTTCAGCCACAGACACTCTGGATTTAGAGATTCTCCCAGAGGATTCTGGGTCTGAGGTGGTACCAGAGACACCCCCCCACAGTCGACCTCAGGAAGATTGGTCAGATCTCACTGAACCCAGCACAGGTAACCAACACATAATATCACACTGATAAACAGAAAGTAACTGTGTGATATTGATTTTGGTCCTGGAACTGTTATCAACCAGTCAGGAGTAGGGTTGGGAATCAAAAATCGATTCCGATTCCAGAATCGGATACTTAAGGTCAGGAATCAGATACTTGTTGTCAAATTAAAATTTCGATTCCACCTATCGATTCCTATGCGCTTTTTTTTCTTCATCTGTGAGGACCGGACCTAGCGATCTGCCAGGACCTTGCTCGCTAATCTAAGCGCTCCAAAGTTTGGCTACATTTGCGATCAGAAGCCAAAAAAGCTAAGTATAATATCTGTGATAGCTAAACATGTTGCAATATAGGTGTCACCAACATGACAAAGCACTTTAATTTAATAGATCGTTAAAGTTCATGAACACGATTCAAACACCAACGTGATTCTATTCCTAAATTACAATGATTCGTCTTTCATTCCTCAAACTTTCATGTGTGTGATCAATGTTGTGATCACTTATTGGTTTGTAGCGTACGATCACACCAGTGTGATTTGAACATTTAAAGGGGTGCTATTATGCTTTTTCACTTTTTCAACTTTAGTTAGTCTGTAATGTTGCAGTTTGAGCATAAAAAAAGATCTGCAAAGTTACAAAGCTCAAAGTCCAATTCAAAAGGAGATATTTTATTTAACAGAAATCACTTTTCAAAAACTACAATGAACGACTCGTTTGGACTACAACG